ACTTGATATTCGCAATTACCACGACTTTCCCCTCTTCATAGTACGACTATCGATCCTAAATACACTCACACCCTCTATGATGTCTTGAGTGCCAAAACAAAAACATATTTGGTACCTTTGCCTTGATCACCATGATTTTTGTTTTTCTCTTTTTTCTTTTTCAAGTTAGAGCACTTGATCATCTCCTTTGGTTACCTCTAGAGTGGTCGGAGAACCAACTAGAGTGGTCGGCACACCTATGGAGTGGTTGGTACACCTCTGGAGTGGTCAGAGCACCATCTAGAGTGGTCGGCACACCTCTGGAGTGGTCGGCACACCTCTAGAATTGTCAGAGCACCATCTAGAGTGGTCGGCACACCTCTAGAGTGGTCGGAGCACCATCTAGTGTGGTCGGAAGTCCTCAAGACAACAACCATGACCATCATCTAGCTCCAACACTTGGTCTTGGACCATCCTATCTTGTCTACACACTTAGATCAAGGATTAGTCCATAGGTTTCATCAATTAGCCAAAACCAAACTAGGACTTTTAATCTTCCCTTTTTGGTAATTGATGACAACCTTTTCACAACGATATTCAATTAAAAACTTTTTGGATTCATGTTGCTTGCCCAAGCATTTTGCCATGTGTAAATGATATGGACAAGTTTCATAAACCTGAATTGGTAGCATTAGCTCTCCCTGCATATGTGCTAAGAGTTTGGATTGAAAGCTTGCACATATGCATGGATTTGAAATGTGAGAGAGTAATGACTACCAAACGATGCTAAGGTGTAAAGAATGGACCTTTAAAGCGTGATACCAATTAGAGTTGCCAATATACACCTTCCTTAGCACCATGATTAGCTAGATATCACTTGCGAAATAAACATAAACTAGATACCTCATGAGATCAACATTTGAAGCAAGGCACTGGTACCACTTGTAAAAACAAAGGTATATCTAGCTATCACCTATATATGCTAGTATTCAAATCATCAATCAAGTTCTACTACTAGCATACACCACACAAGCATATATCTTGAATTTAAAAACTTGTGCAATGCAAGCAACCATATGTAAGTGCGCATTCAAATGCAACAATCAAATTTATGAGCTTGCTCCCCCTATTTGTGTGCTCAAATTTTAATTTTAAAATTTGATCCCTTTCCTTTGGTACTTCTCTCCCCCTTTCTTCTCTCCCCATTTATATTATTCTATCTTTGTGACTAATCTCTCCCCCGTTGTCATTAATTGCCATAAAAGATATGGCTCAAATTTTAGGTTGAGTTAGTCAATCAATGGGATGAGTAGGATCATTAATTCAATTTGGTTCAATCTAGATCACTTGCTTAAGATATTTAACTCGGTTTGAACCAATGGCAAGCTTCTTCACACCTCTTTTAAGGGTTATCTTGACAATGTTGAGTTAAACACTTTGAGCTCATTTTCTAGACCAAACACTAGGTTCACAAGCCCACAAATATGTTATATGTTACCACTAGATCATATCAAGCATAGAAGCAATAGTGGCATCATATAAGCATCAAATTCATTTGATTTTCATGAATGCTCCAAAATACCACTTATAATGACTATATGCGCTACACAAGTCCTTAACAAAGTATGAATGTCATGCCAAACAATATTACCTTTGCTTAGTCGAAGGAGAGGCATGTCATATAAGTGGGGGTGCATCAACTCATATTGGAGAAGTCAAGTATGTTCAACTCATTTCTTAGCTTGCAAAATCTCTTCTCATCAAGTGGCTTGGTGAAAATGTCCGCTAATTGATCATCGGTGCCCACACTCTCAATTGCAATGTCACCCTTTTGTTGATGATCTCTTATGAAATGATGCCTTGTGTCAATGTGCTTGGTTCTTGAATATTGAATCGGATTGTTGGTGAGCTTCACAACACTTTCATTGTCACATAGCAGTGGCACTTGTTTATATTTGATTCCAAAGTCGTCCAAAGTTGCCTTCATCCATAGCAATTGTGCACAACAACTACCGTTAGATATGTATTTGGCTTCGGCGGTTGAAAGTGCAATACTATTTTGCTTCTTAGATGACCATGAGACAAGTGACCTTCCCAATAGTTGGCATGTGCCCAATGTGCTCTTTCTATCCACTTTGCAACCGGCATAGTCGGAGTCCGAATATACAATTAATTCAAAGTTAGACCCCTTGGGATACCACAATCCAACATCTTGTGTATGCTTCAAGTACCTCAATATTCTTTTTGTAGCCTTCAAGTGGCTCTCTCTTGGTGAGGCTTGAAATCTTGCACACATGCATACACTAAACATGATATCCGGCCTTGATGAAGTGACATAGAGTAGGCTTTTAATCATTGACCGATATAGCTTTTGATCTACCATATTTCCACTTGTGTCCAAGTCCAAGTGACCATTTGTTCCCATTGGTGTACTCATTGGTTTAGCATCCTGCAATCTAAACTTCTTGACCATGTCCTTGATTTACTTGCCTTGACTTATAAATGTGCCATTCTTCAATTACTTGATTTGAAGACCAAGGAAGTAACTAAGCTCTCCAATCATGAACATCTCAAACTTACTAGCCATCATCTCTCCAAATTCTTCACAAAAATCTTGATTGATTGACCCAAATATGATATCATCAACATAGATTTGTAATACAAACAAGTCGTTGCCAATCTTCTTGGTGAAGAGAGTAGTATCAACCTTGCCCATCTTGAACCCTTTAGAGAGTTGAAAATCTCTTAATCTCTCATACCATGCTCTAGGTGTTTGTTTCAAACCATACAATGCCTTCTTGAGCTTGTAAACATGGTTGGGTTTCTTGTCATCTTCAAAACCGGGAGGTTGCTCAACATATACCAACTCATTGATGTAGCCATTCAAGAATGCACTCTTCACATCCATTTGATATAACTTGATTTTGTGGGCACAAGTATAAGCTAATAGGATTCTAATTGCTTCTAATCTTGTAACCGATGCATATGTTTCTCCAAAGTTAAGACCTTCTATTTGAGTGTAACCTTGTGCTACCAATCTTGCTTTGTTTCTCACCACTATGCCATCTTGATCTTGCTTGTTGCGAAAGACCCATCTAGTACCAATCACATTGTAGTTCTTTGGCCTCTCAACAAGTTCCCAAACTTGGTTGTGGGTGAAGTTGTTTAGCTCTTCATGCATGACATCTCCTCCTCCTTCTTAGGGACATATACTTGCTTAATTTGTGCCTTCCCTATGACATGAGCCAGAATCTCATGAGTCGGCAATACCTTCGATGGTTGTGGAAATTGCTTCTCATGACTTCAGCTCGATTGACCGAAGTTCAATCGGCTACACACCGAAGGATGTGAAGGACCAGCAGCAATTCCTTGGATTTGTTGTATCATAGGCACCATTGGTGGATATGGCACCCACACACCATAGGGCCCCCACATAGGATGAGTAGGAGGTTGCACTGAAGGACCCCAACGAGACACACGAGGAGATTTTCTCTGCTGATCTAGAGCCGAAGCTAGAACAATTTGCTTTGACTCATCTTGCTTGGGTAGTGTTGGCGGTCACTAACGACAACATTCAACCGCCAATTATTATCCAAAAAGGGAGAAATAAACAAACTTTTGACACATGCATATACTATTGACCTAGTTCCACTTGTATTGGAGAAAACATGTTTTGCAGGACACACATTCAAATACAAGTGGAAAATAAAAAAAAAAAGCCAAGCAAAAGGCGCAAAGCAGAAAGAGTAATGCAGAAATGCGCAAAGGAAATACATGGAGAAGCCCACCTACACATTGAATCTGGGCCGAGCACCGACGTGGGAGGGGCCCAGGCCCACCCAGGAACCAACCACGTGAAGGCGGTCACGAGCCGGCCCCACCTAGGTGCGGGCACACCAGGGGTGCGGCTGCACCCCTGCTGCTGCCACCTGGGCCCGACTTCCACCGACTGATGCATGGCGGCATGCAATCACTACAAGAAATTTAGGATCTATGATGACCTGTTATCATCATTATTTCTAGTATTTTTGTCATAGTAGATGTATTTATGACGACTGCATGACGATAAATCATTTGTCATAGATCATGCGTGGTTAACCTTGTTCTATGACGACTACATATTTTTTCATCATAATTTTTTATGACGACCCGATTAAAAGTCATCACTAAATATCTTAAGGCCTAGCTAGGCCCATGTACTAAGCAGGTTTTTATTGGACCAAATATAATTGTGAGCCAAATTTATAATTTACAAAGCCCATTTATATAAGTAAAATTAACATCAATTTCTGGGCCAATTTTTTTACGGCCTATTTATTTAGTGGGCCAGAAAAGGCCTAACCCATTTAAACATGTAGAGAAAACAACCTTTTCAGCATCCATACATAATCAGCTCATTTCAACTTCCATTACATAACAACCCATTTCGGCATCCATTACATAACAGCCCATATATAATCTGTACATTCATCAATCAAAGCCCTTAAGCATTCATCAAATCATCCATAATCTCATTCACATATCACAACCCATACACATTCATCGATCATCCAGATCTCATTTCGAAGGATAGATAAATATGATCACATCCATCAGTAATTTTACAAATCCCAGATAACACATTTCCACATAGCAAAAAGACAACACTAACAAGATACATAGATACATAGCAGAAATTAATATGGTCTGAACCAGATCAGACATGTCTTAAAATAACAACACTACCAATATTTGTAACATAATCTGAACTAGATCAGCCAAGTCGCATATAATAGCACTACCAAATGTTTGTAGCATAAAATAATATGGTCTGAGTAGCCAAGTTCCAAAATCAGACGTCCAACCATATGCATCTGCAAACTTACAGAGTTAAAGGAATGGCCTTACTCTTTGCTGAACATGCGACGAAAGAAAGCATTCGTCTTGTCTTATGCCTTCTTCAACTCATCTTGTGCCTTGTTCAACTGTTCTGTCTCTTCTAATAGCCTGCATCTTTCATTTTCTGATTCCTCCACCTTCTTCTACAAAGTTTCCATCTCATCCTTTAGTTCTTCTTTGTCTTGCTTTCCAGCTGCAACTTCTGCTTCAAGTTCTATAACCCGTGCATCATTAATGGCTTTGGAGCTTCTCTTGGGGGCTGCTAGGTGAAGGCCAATATTTTGAAGAAATTTTGATTTCGGCAACACTTGAGCAACAACTTCAGCAGGGGTCTTTGAAACTTGGCCATCTTCTACAGGTGCAGCAGCGATAGATTCCATTTCAGCCTAAAAACATCAACATATCATAAGACAGTTCTGAAATTAATTACCGACTAATATATTTAAAACCAACAGAAAGGTGGTCATAATTGATAGTAGTGTTGCTCAAATAAGTGAATGCAGGCTTTGTAAAACAGATGTACAATCAAGGTTCACATTAAAGGCCATTTAAAGCACGAAAATATTTTTCCAACTAAATATTTTACCATAATTGAGCATGACACAGATGACTCTTCCCGATTCAATATAGTGAGATCATTTATGCTACAAACTATTACACTATAGTTTGGGATGATGACTCATTATAGTACAGGTTGGGAATTTGGGAATATTTCTGTTTTGGCAATGTCTACAAGTTTACATGTGCTATTAAGAGAGTTTCTGGACAGCAGTGACATCATGCAGTACAATCTTGCTAGATTAGCATGAATAAGCTGCTGCTACACATGCAACAATTAATCATTGTTCCTTGGAACAGCAGGAAGCATGTACAAGTTGCTGCTACACATGAACATGAAGTTGCTGCTACACATGAACAAGTTGTTGTTCTATGTCTCACAAGTAACAACAGGAAGCATGTACACATTACAGACTCAACTAAAACCAGTAACATTTATTCAGAGCTATATATAGTTCAAAATGGAGCTTGTACTTACAATAGCTTCCTTTGTAGACTCATTAAACCCAGTCTTGCTGCTGCAATGCAGTGCCTTGAAAAGATCTATCGCACTGGGTGGTTCATCTTTATATTTCTCTTGCCTCTAAAATTATTCACAAACATTTTGTAGGTGTAAGATTATAAGAATAACTGTTCAATGATGAATGATTGTAACACAATGTTTCCATATCTTACCAAGGCATGCACTACTGGAGACGCGCTCTTTGCCGAGTGCCTGGGGCACTCGGCAAAGGCCCTATTGCACTCGGCAAAGGCTTTGCCGAGTGCCACACTCGGCAAAGAGCAAACGGCAAAGCCGCATCAGGCGAAGGGTTCTTTGCCGAGTGCCGTTTGTCGAGCACTCGGCAAAGGCTTTGCCGAGTGCCAGGACGACACTCGGCAAAGAAAATTGGCCGTCAGCCGTTGACGGCGTCTTTGCCGAGTGCCGGGTCAGGAAGGCACTCGGCAAAGCTTTTCTCTTTTTTTTTGAAAAATCCTTTGCCGAGTGCCTTCCTGACCCGGCACTCGGCAAATAAAAAAATATTTTTTTTTGAAAAATCCTTTGCCGAGTGCCTAGATGAGACGGCACTCGGCAAAGAAAAAATATTTTTTTTGGAAAATTCTTTGCCGAGTGCCAGAGTCCTGGCACTCGGCAAAGCTGGGAAACACATGGTAGTGTACACAGCTTTGCCGAGTGTCAGGGTACTGGCACTCGGCAAAGAGACCTGATAGCGCATTTTTTTGGCAGCTTTGCCGAGTGCCAGGGCAAAAGGCGCTCGGCAAAGGCTCTTTGCCGAGTGTTACACTCGGCAAAGTGACCAAAAATTTTTGTTTTTTTTTTGTTTTTTGCTTTCGATCACTGCAAACACAACATATAGCATATATATCACATCCATCACATATATACCATATCCAGCACCTTATATGTCACAATCCATCACACATACCACATGAATCACATCCGTTCACCACATGTCACAGTAATTCCATCCATTATTCGATAGGATTCCACATCATTCAACAAGTAGTTCAAATCCATCACCACATGTCACAATAACACATGCATGACAACAACATTGTCTCGGACAGAAATCCATTGCGAAGAGAACAAGACATGAAACTACAAGCGCTACTCACTGAAGCAGCCCTTGATGTGGCCATCCTGCTGACAACGGGGAAGGAAACATCTGCTGGTTCAGAGTGCCCTGAGCTGGGTTGTTCGAACCCGCCGACTGAGGCTGCACACAGGAGAAGAGATTGCATGAGACAAGATTAGTTGAATAGCGATTGTAGCAATTCCTTGCATGTGTGACATTACTCACTGGAGTAGCGGAGTGAGGAGGCTGAGGTGGACCCATTAACCCAGGAGGCATAGCAGCACCCGTCGTAGTTTGCATCCAGGCAATAATGTCTGCCAACTTTTTCTCCTGGGCGAGTTTGTCGGCCTCTCGCGCGGCCCGCTCGGCCGCCAACCCCAGCTCCAGCTCCTAGGCCCTCCTGTTTGCTTCTTCCACCTGGGCCTACAAATTGTTGCAAAGCTAATGTTACAATAATGCAAAGGAAATAGAGTTGTGTAAAGATCAATGTACGATGAGTAAAACATGAATAACCTAGAGTGTGTCGACCCGGTGTTGTGAAATGCTCGGCCGTGAGCGTATCACCGGGAGTGAGGAGGCGGTCGTGCTCTGTGCTCGGATCTGGGAGAGAGTGGGAGTAGAGGCCGTGTCGATCACGCTGTCGCCAATCCAGTAGCGGCCATGCTTCTTGCCTTGTCCAATCCTCATGACGGTGTTTGCATCAATGTTGTCGGTCCGTGGATCGTACTCCGGCCCATGGATCGACCTTGCCGCCGACGTGTACTTCGTGATTTTCTCGTAGGCGCTCGAGTTTGTGTACGCCTCGGCCGGGTCATCCGGGTTGAAGGAGACGTCGGACGACACCTTGCCCTTGTGTGCCATGGCAAATGTGGCGAAGTTGGAGCACTCTTGGCCTTGATGTGCCGCCGACTACAAGAACGAAAACAAGATGATTAGAATTCTTTGCCGAGTTCAACGAAAGCAAGAAGAATAGAAACATGACCACGTACCCACGCTCGGGCGTATCCGGAGAGGTTGCGGTTGCCTTGATGGTGTGATACACCTGGCATGAACAAACGCCACTGCCGAGTAGCCGCATGCTGAGCAGCCCACTCCGCGCTTAACCACCTATCCACCATCTTTGCCCAAGCCACGGGGCACCCGTTGCACCACCAAGGAATCACCTACACGTCATCAAGTAGTTGACATATTAGAAAAACAAGTGATTCATACTTAATCTCAAAAGAAACCAATTTTAATGTTCTTTAGCTACCTCAAGGAACTGGGGTTTGGTCAGCATCAAGTCTTGTTCTCGGATGTCCTTCTTGGTGACCTTCTGTCCGAGCTTCGTCCCATAGTAATCTATGATGGCCTAGAGTCACGCCTCATGATGGATGTCGACGACGCGTTTCCTGCAAGCTCGCTTAGCCACTGCCTCCACCGTGCCCTCGAATCCATCGTCAAGTTTGAAGTACTCCTGCATATACAGACACGATGTATGCATTAGTTATTTCAAGTAGAGTCCAATGAGTGCGTTGTATTGAGCCATGTAGTGCGAGGAAGACTTACCCAGAACTCCCGAATGACGAGCGCAGCCTCGGTGCCTGCTTCCACGTGGGGGGCGGACTCGTAGTGGGCAAACGTGAAGGCGGGCTCGAGGTTCCCAGCATGCATGACCATGCCAGGGAAGTAGTTAAGTTCACTCCCCTCCTCAGATTCGCTGCATACCCATCAGGGAATATTAACGTCTAGATCCATTGGAGTACTTCCCTCCTTTGTCTAGGGGTCAAGACAAAATCTACCTTAGGCCTTTTCCATGTCTTGCCGCCTCCAGGAGCACGCATCTCTTGATGTGGTCTATCACACAACTCTGCCAGGTCCACTCTAGCCTTAGGGTTGTCCTTTGACTTTTTAGTTTCAATGATTGTTCCCCAGAGTGCCTCGGCGACATTCTTTTCTGTGTGCATGACATCAATGTAATGTGGCATAAGAAGGTCATCAAAATAGGGGAGCCTCGTCAAGCCCGACTTATGAGTCCACATGTGTTCCTCGTTGTATCCCACAAAGCCATCACCTTCTTGATTCTCCATGAGAGCATCTATCTGAGCATGAACCTCGGCACCAGTCATCATCTGTGGTGCAGGTTCTGTCACTACGACACCTTTCGTAAAGTTCTTGGTGTCTTGCCTGAATGGATGCTCGGGAGGGAGGAATTGACGATGTTTGTCGAACGACGAATACTTGCCACCCTTCTTGAGCCAGATGAACCTCAGACGATCCTTGCATAATGGACATGGGAACTTCCCGTGGACACACCAACCGGAGAATATCCCATATGCTAGGAAGTCATGCATGGAGTACTGGTACCAAATGTGCATTTTGAAGGGTGTCTTTGTAGCTCTGTTGTATGTCCATACCCCATCCTCCCAAGCACTGACCAATTCATCAATCAGAGGCTCCATGAAGACACCCATCTTCTTCCCCGGGTGTCCAGGAATTATCAATGACAAGAATACGTTCTGACATTCAAAGGTGACGCCGGGGGGGGAGATTGAGGGGGATGATGAACACGGGCCAACGTGTGTAGGGGGCAGCCATCAAACCATAAGGATTGAACCCATCTGTTGCCAGCGCAACACGTATGTTACGAGGCTCTGATGCTTTCTCATGATGAATGCCGTCAAAGTGGTTCCATGCTTCACCATTGGACGGATGTACCATCTTGTCAGGATTGTATCATGTGCCCTGTTTGTGCCACGTCATCTGCTTAGCGGATTCCTCGCTCATGTATAGCCGTTGGATCCTCGGCACGAATGGGAGGTACCGTAAGATTTTCATCGGGACGGTAAGCTGCTTCTTGTGGCCATCCCCAGAGTCTACCTCCAGGTACCTGGAGGATTTGCACTTCGGACAGTACTTTTCATGCTCATGTTCTTTCCTAAAGAGGACACACCCATTCGGACAAGCATGTATCTGCTCGTAAGGCATCTTGAGTCCATCAAGGAGTTTCTGGCACTCGTACAGGCTCTTTGGCAGAACATGGCCCTCTGGAAGCATGCTAGCAATCAAGGCCAACATACCATCGAAGTGTTGTCGACCCATGTTGATCTCGGCCTTGAACCCCATCACGCGTCCAATGGCATCGAGTTGACAAACCGTTGTCCAATCATGAAGGGGTTTCTGTGCCGAAGACATCATGTCATAGAACGCCTTTGTGGATGCCTCCGTCTCCTCCACACGTCCATCAGGGATTTGTGCTTGTTGAT